TTGCCACATTGAGTCTGAAGTTTATGTAGGATTGAACTCAGGCCAGAGTTGCCCTGTCATAGTCATATGACACCTCATTCTTAAGGTGGCTGCAGCTCATGGGATATTTGAGGACTGGCTCCTGCTCTGTGTAAGGTCTTCTCCGATGTGCCCTGTGTATTTTCTTTTCACTGGTAAATCTCTATGTAGATTTCACATCTGCATTAAGTCCTGTTATCACTCCTCACCAAATACGTACAGAATCTGCCCTTCCCGGCATCATGAAGTATTGATTCTGGTCCCCCAGCTCCCCAGGGACATGCATGGCACAGACCCCAGCAGTACGGTTGTAGCCAGGATCTCCATGTCCAGGGAGATTTGCCTTCAGGTTTTACTCTCAGATTGTTGGTCTTCCAATGCTAGAGAAATAGAGAAAGGATGACTGTGACATTACCTCTTCTAAAGAATGTATTCTTATAAAATCCTGCAGAGATTTTATTTTTTCTGAAAAACACTACCTGATGCTCTCCTTGTCTGTCAGGCTGTGGGCATGTCAGGGGTTCCTTCCATCAGTATTAAGACATGTGTTGAGTGTGGGCCTCGCCCTCCACCATCTGGCTCCAGGCTCTGCAGCTTTGGTGGCGGCTAGGGGCCTGGGTGCTTCCTGCTGTTCCCCGTGTCTCTGCTGTTCCACTCAAAACATGCTCCACAGAGTTCATCTCTGCACACGCTTCCTCCCTATCAAACTTTTTTTTTTTTCCCTTCCCCTCCTGCGATTCCTGGGAAGCCAAGAGGCTGCGGACGCAGGGAGAGAGTGGTGACGTCCACCTGTCCAGTTCAACATTGTGCAAATGGAAGCCTTTGTGGACGGTTTAAATTGTCTTTAAAAAAACACCCCGAGCGAGCCTTCCTAAGCAGCCAGTACAAATGTTCTCTTTGGGCCACCAGTGACCCAGGTCCTTCCCAGCCCCTGCTTGGAAGCATACCTCAGCACAGAACCACGGAGTGCCTGCACCCGCAGCGCCAGGCCTCTGACTCCGTGGGCATTGAGCAGACGGTGGCTGAAGACAGGCTTCTGAGCAGCGGGTTCAAGCGCTTCCGATTAGGTGGAGGCGTTCTTCAGAGCGGCAATACCTCCTGTGAACTTAGGGCAGGAAGCAATACTTCAGAATTGAATGTGTGTAAATAGTTGCTTTGAGTTGCAATTGCTAGTTCTTCTTGGCCTCAGGTCAGATCAAATTATATATGTATAAATATATATAAACAAACACAAATAATTGCATCCAATGCAAACAAATGCAGAGCATCAGTTATGAAACCCTCACAGAGCTTGGAGGCTGCTCACGGCTCCGTTACCCTGACTGTGCTGTGGAGACACCTGCACATTTGCACTTGACATTGAGAGCCAAAGGGCCGCGTGCTTCCCCATTATGTAGGCTGTAGTGATTTGTAGTTTCCAAAGATCTGTCCGCGTTTGCATTTCTAGACTTTCGAAGTAAGCACTTTTTGGTGGTGGTTTCGAAAAATCACGTCATGCCTAGAATATGAAAATTAAATCTGCGAGAACCAATTGTTTGCGTTCTCCATCTTTCCTTTGCTCTACCCTTTTTAAGTTGTTAATCCTAATAATTTCAAAATGCACCCACTGAAGAAATGGACATTAAAATACTCTAAAATCTCAATATTTGATGCCTGGTATTTCCTCATCGACAAGATCGTTACCACTTCCGAGATTAGGGCGCTCCTTTTTCCCTGCCATTTGTGGCTGAAATAGGAAGCTTTGCAGGTCTTTTACATCGTGACTTTGAAAACAGGGCAACTAAAAACTCTTATTGTGTGTGTATGTGTGTGTGTGTGTGTTTTAAATGGACACATTTGCTACAGTGAACTTTGGTTGAGAATTATTTATTTTTACATGGAACAGAAGCAGGTTGCAGGACAAATTTTGCTTGCGACCACATCCTGATTTTTTTAGACCTTCTAAATAGTTTTTCCCGCAATATCTTCAGCAACTGACTGAGAAGATGAAGTAAGTTTTCTGAAAAGATGTGCCTGCATAGCCTCTTCCTTACAGAGTCCTGGGGTGCCTGTATCATGGGGAAGTCACAAACCCATTTCGGAATCTGTTTAAAGTCACAGAGCGTCTTTGCCAAAAATCACACATGCCATTTTACATGTCATAGGGGCTCACAGCACCTCCAAACCTGGAGCCAAATGCTGGCTCTGCTAGGGGTTAGAGCCTCTTCCCCCAGGGTTTTTCCTGGAGAGTTCAGTATTAATGTGCAACTTCAAAGCACAGGACCCTCTTGTCGACTCAGCAAAGGGGATGCAGATGTGGCCCCAGGCCTTGCTCATCAGATCAGAGGGATCCAGCTTCTAGGTGATCCTCCACTGGAGCCTGGTACCTGTGAGGACACTGCTTGTTGACGAGGGTGCTCTTTCCTCTGAGTCCGCGCTGCAGGCATTCCTAGGAACCTTCCAGAGGTAAGGGAATATTTGTCTTTGTTGCGTTTCTCTAGTAGAAAGGACAGCCCAGGGACTTTGGGGGGTTTCTCAAACAGTCTAGAAAGGCAGCCTCTAATTTTTGCAGTAAACCTCAGGACTTATCATTTATGACTTCTCTTTCATCTATTCTTTTTTTTTTTAATCTTTTCACTCTCATATTAGGGAGAGTTTTAAAATAAGTGTAATGAAGAATCGACCTTACCCAAATAGAGGGCTGGCCTTTTCTCTGGTTTCTTGGGAATTGATCTCTGAGCTCTTGGAATATCATGCCTGATAAGTGTCTCTGTTTAACTGGGGCTTTGGGCCCCACCAGGTAGTCCAAAGGTGTCGTTTAGTGTGGTGATCACATGGTATTCACTTGACCTCTGCAGGGGCTGGAGACGAGTTATCTACTTTTATCTAAAATCTCTTTCACACGTGGTTGCTTTTCTCTGCTGTGGGAATCTGTCGTTGTGGCCGCCTGGGATGGATCCCAAGTACCAGGGAGAGGAAGCTAACTGGGGCAGGAGATAAGTGAGAGGAAGTGATTAAGAAAAAGTACAGAGTTGCACACCATGTAGGCGTAAACTCAAAACCTTCCCAAGTGTCTATTTTTATACTGTTCCTTTGTAAAAATTGGTTTTTAAATAACACGACTCCAAAGAGTTGTTACTGTATGTCAGAATAACTTAAGCGTGGGGAATTCTCACATCCCTTCTGGGCCTGAAAGTTGGAAAGAGAAAGAAATTACGCAATCAGGTATTGAGCAATCTGAGTGCCTCCTGAAACCTCAGTCATCAGCAGCAGCGATTCCTAACCTTTTTTTGGGCTCGCAAAGCCTTTGATAATTTGATGAAAGTTGTGGCTCCTTCATCCAGAAAAAAAAATGCACATCAAAATAAACCCACTTCGTGGGCTTCCCTGGTGGTGCAGTGGTTGAGAGTCCACCTGCCGATGCAGGGGACACGGGTTCGTGCCCCTGTCCAGGAAGATCCCACATGCCGCGGAGCAGCTAGGCCCGTGAGCCATGGCCGCTGAGCCTGCGCGTCCGGAACCTGTGCTCCGCAACAGGAGAGGCCACAACAGTGAGAGGCCCACATACCGCAAAAAATAAATAAATAAAATTTTAAAAATCCACTTCATGTTCCTGGATCCAAATCCAATACCCATGATCTACAATAACAGGAGGAATGGTGATTTTTAATTATAAGTATCTGCAGGTGAGGTTTCCAAGCACTTCTGGACTCTCTATTGGAAACGTGATTAAACAGGTTAATGCTGCTTGTTTATATATGCATTTCCAATCCAATTATATTTTAGACTTTAATGTGTGAGTTACCTAAGTACATCTGAAGAGGCACTCAAAGAACTTCTCAATATAAAGACAAAGTTCATCAGATTCTTTCCCAACAGATAAATAACGATCAGACAGTGTTTTACTGAGTACCCTACTATGTGCCAAAGCTCCTTTCACTTAGGTGGTGACAGTGCTGTGATACTTGAGAATATTTGAGGAGCACCTGTGATTAGTCACTGTTTTTCCCGACGGCTCTCCTGTTAGGAGTCCCACCAGGAAACAGAAGGGAATTTTGAGACATCCCTCTCCTTGCTGACATTTTTATTTTTAAATTTATTTATTTATTTATTTTTGGCGGTTTTGGGTCTTCGTTTCTGTGCGAGGGCTTTCTCCAGACACGGCAAGCGGGGGCCACTCTTCATCACGGTGCGCGGGCCTCTCACTATCGCGGCCTCTCCAGACGCGCAGGCTCAGTAGTTGTGGCTCACGGGCCCAGTTGCTCCGCAGCATGTGGGATCTTCCCAGATCAGGGCTCGAACCCGTGTCCCCCGCACTGGCAGGCAGATTCTCAACCACTGCGCCACCAGGGAAGACCCTTGCTGACATTTTTAAATGGTGGCACCTTAGTGTCATCTGTACCCCATCAGAGATGATCTTTGTGTTATGGTCTTATGGAATATTCAGTCTTTCGAGAAAGAGCAACAGATGAGGACCATTCAGGGAAAACAACTGCACCAATATTGTGTTGGTCCCTCCCTGAGAGAGGGGCCACTCCACATGGTCTTATATTTTATTTTTAAAACAATCCTGATGGCGACTGGGGTCCCAGCTCGAGGGTCTCAGAGCTGAGCAGAACAAGGCACTGGCTTGGACTGACGGGGCTGGTGGTGGCCTTTCAGGAACCACACCCCCAGTGAAAGGTCTCCCTGCCCCCCCCCCCCCCCCCCCCCCCCCCAGAATTGCAAGGGGTTGGAGGACTAGAGCCTCTGCTGACCCCACCTCCTTCCAAGCGACCTCCAGCAGGCTACAGTCTTCTCAGAGCTGCTCTTTCTCTGTCGTCCTCTGGGCTTTTTTTTTTTTTTTTTTTGCTGTACGTGGGCCTCTCACTGTTGTGGCCTCTCCCATTGCGGAGCACAGGCTCCGGACGCGCAGGCTCAGCGGCTATGGCTCACGGGCCCAGCCGCTCCGCAGCATGTGGGATCCTCCCAAACCGGGGCACGAACCCGTGTCCCCTGCATCGGCAGGTGAACTCTCAACCACTGCGCCACCAGGGAAGCCCTCCTCTGGGCTTCTTGATCTTCTCAGCAAACAGAATTCTTGCCCTCTAGGTTGACAGGGCGAGGACTGATAGCAGAAAGGGGGAATTGTTTGGACTTGTCCATGTGATTCCAGGGAAAGGAGCAGAATGGGGGTGACATGGCCTCACACGCTCCCCTTGGAGTCCCATGGCATAGACAGCCTCGCACCCAAGGCATCTGTCTCAAATCCTGCCAGGTTCCCACCCTCTGAGGTCCCCAGCTCTGGTCTCCCCGTCTCATGGACGGCCACTCCTCCTCTCTACCTGCGGCCACCACCTGCATTCCACCATCACCTTTGACCTCCCAAGTAGGTTTCAGTGCTGTGTTACCTCACTCCCAAACTTCAGGAGTACAGATAAACCTATGGCAACACGGTGAGCAGGCACTTTATTGATTTAAAGAAATTAACTCTTTAGCTGCGAAATTCAGTTCTCACACATGCAAATGTGCCTCTACACATAAGGCAGCCTCCCATTATATGATAGTTTTCTGCCAAGGAACTCAAGACACCTGGAACCCCTTCTGTCCTCATGATGCCTCACCGAAGGCAGAGGTGGTTTTTCCTGTCCAACAGATTCGAAAGTTCAGGTTCAGCATAGCTGAGCGGCTTGCCCCCCTCAGCCAGTCATTGCCAGTGATTCCCAGCTGCACAGCCAGAGACAGAGCATGCTGCCAGTCCAGACCATCTCATGGCTTGCCCCCCCTTCCTTTGCAAGAAAAGAACAAAGAATCCAGGTGGTGGGGTGAGACATGGTGCATTTAAATGGTGAGATTAGACAGTAGGTCAGCAAGTGACTGACAGGGTAAATCCATCTCCCCTTCTCTCCCTCTCCCCTTCTTTTTGTAAGACGGGATACTTGAATTGTGTGTGGAATGTTTAAGGTATTGTCTAGTGTCTGCTTAGAATGGAAAAGTTTTCAGATTATTCAAGTGTCTATATGGACTTGTGTCCATCGGCTAACCAAGACCATCAGGGAATTGAGGCCAAGTTTGCAACACATCGGTGCCTTGGGAAAGATCTGTATAAAACACAGATTATGTTGGTGTCCTGTGCGTCCTGCTAATGTAGCAGAACTAGATCAGGTACCTTGAACACAAGATCCGTTTTTTTCCCCAACTGTTGATTACACAATAAATTTGTTATTATGTGTGATGTTAAGTTGTTTTTAAAATGCCCTTGTATATCTGCACATCTCCAGAATTTCAGGGAAGTATTAGAGGGGAAAGAAAAAACTAAATATTTTTTGGCCATTTAACTTGAAATATCATAAAACATAATTCACAATTTCTATGCCAATTTGGGGACCTTGGGCAAAAAAACGACTTTGTTGACTACAAAGGAGCAAGGAAGCCAATAGTTTAGAAGCAAGTCTTATAACATGGTGAGTTGGTGGAACTTTTCTTTTGTAATTCTGATTTGCTGGAGTGATATCTCTTCTTCCTCAAGAGTAAAGACTTCTGAATGGCATCACAGATACATCTAGAGTGTTAGCACAGAAGAATGTGGCTAAATGTTGCCCTTGGTCTCCTATTTCTATTGCTAATTGCATGACAGGTTGTACTTTCCAAAAATTTCAGTCAAGGACTTCCAGGGACTTCTAAAGGTCCTAATCTACTGTAGTACCTGGAGAGCTTTTGGATTTGGTTGTTTGGTTGGTTTTTTAATATTGAAGAATGTGATTTATGTGAACTTTCAGGAAATTAATTCAACTAAAACCTAAATCTAAGAAGATAAGGTAAAACTTTTTGGGAAAAAAAAAGAGATTTGAAGCACTTATCCAGATAATTTAGGATAAAAGCATCCTTTTGCCTAAAATATTTCAAATGAGACAAAATGAATTTATTGCATGAATCACATGGATAGTGATCCAAATTCTTCAGTTCACTTTTCTTATGCAGCCAATACAATGGGCTGCTTCAATCCCTTCAGCATCTCATTTCCAAATGTCCTCATCTTCTGCCACTGTCTGTTTTGTTGGCAGAATTACAATAGGAACAGACCTGCATGCTTTGAGGGAAAACCTAGCATATTCTTGTGAACTAGCCATTCAGTAGTTACCGGGACTCCAAAAGAGTTTGCCTGTGTTCCTGACTGGTGGTTCCTGTCACCGACTCAAACACAAGACGTCCCGCATCTGTTCCCGTAGCAACAGCCCCATGGATGACCTCTGGCAGGAGCTCTGTAGTGCCAGCGTGACCGTCCCATGTGCCCGAGACAGTCTGGCAGCCAAAAGGAGACTGGCCTTCCTCCCTCTCTTCCCTCTGAAGTGCAGGAAGGCAGCCTCATGCACTGGCCCCGCTTGAGACACTCCAAAACCCTCACTATAAACTGCCACCAAGTCCTGGGCAAGCCTGTGGCACCCACTACCCTTCAGAAGATCGTCTGCAAGTCCCTTCTGGGTTTAGCCTCAAGAAGCTGCCAGAGCAGCGAGCTGGGACTTTGGGCCTGATCCAGACTCACAAAGAGGCTCTTCATCCATCCAGTCCTGGGCTGGCCCAGGCAGCAGTGAGCCAGACTCTCAGACCAGCGTGGAAGCCAAACAGAGACCCCTGCCAATCCCACCAATGGTCCTGGGGTCTCTAAAGCGGTCCTTGGACTTGGGGGAGGTCAGGGACAGAGCAGAGGACCAGCTGGGAACACCCAGAAAAGTGGATGTCGGCAAAGTGGGGTCTCCAGCGTTCAGTGACCTAACGCAGCAGGGGCCTGGCCCCTTGTGTGCCACCACTGCAGCTGCATCGTAAGCCATTGGACGGGGTGTGCCAGACAGGGCCTCCACGGGCACACCCTCTTCACTCTACCGCATCCAACCGAAGAACCAATAACACACACATGAGCACCAGTGAAAAACCGAGAGCCTTAACATCCTCTAGGAAACCCTGTGTCGTTTTCATGGTTTGTAACAGACAGCGTTATAGGATGGAGCCATCCCTGAGATGATCCAGTTACTAACATCAATGTCCACCGTCTCAATCCATGCACTTATCTTCATACCAAAACCAGTTCTGTGAGGCTCCCGAGTTGTGATGTAACGCAACAGGTCAGCATCGCCCCATCCTGACAGCTTTGTCCTGACAGGTCGCCAGAGCGTGTTTTCCTTGTTTTCGGTGTTGCATCACCACGAAGGGGCAACAATGGTTTGTTCCAGCAGCGTTTTGGCCATGGGTGGTTGCATGCTCCATCCTAGAATGGTCGTTCTTACACGTGGCCCCTTGCTTGTCATGGAATACAGAAAGCAATCACGGAAAAGTGTAAATCAGCTTTCCGTTGCAGAAGCATGGATAGTTTCCTTTTTTAATCGTCATGTTTTCTAGAAACTGCTCGTGGTTCTTCCTTTCCTCCCCTCCAACCTTCTTCTCATCTGCACTTTCCCATCACCTCTTTTCCACAAGATGAAAGCACTGCTGAGAGGGGAACTCCGTTTTCTTTCAGATAAAGGGAAGGAGCCTAATTGTAAATTTTAAACATATGTAAGAAACTGCTTATGTTCTGTCAACAACCCAAAACAGGAAGAATTGTATCTGTGAACTATTAAGCTGTATCTGTATATAGATAAAAAGCCCATTATCTTTAATTCATCACTACAGACCTTGTAATCTGTTGTACATTAAAATGTTTTACTGTATCAGAGAAAACGTCACGCTACAGATCCAGAGAAGCTGGGGAAATAATTCAAAATACAGTATAATTAACTCAAATCTTGTTGTTTGTTTATTCTGGGCATGGCACAATTCAAGTGGAAGATGTGCTGACTATAAATTATCAACCAGAAACTGAATTTATCTGCGAGACTCCTGAGACCTCTCTAAGGCAGCGCCACTCACAGAGCTCATGGTGTGTGGGTTCACCGTGCAGCCCAAGGGGTCGCAAGCTGGTCGTTGCATTTTAATCCAGATGCAGGCATTTCGGGAAGAAGGTGCTGCAGCCTGCGCCCAGCCTGCCTCCCGCCGGGCCTCTGTCAGCTTGCTTTAGCTTGAAAAGAAGTGTTCAGAACAGAGAGCAGCTGCAAATGTTCAGGACCTCGAGTGTACTCTTGGGATCAGAAGGTTCAGTACCTCCTTTCCTCCAGCAGAATGTGTGCAGACAGGCAAGTAGAGAAAGAGGGCAAAGGAGCCCCCCTCCCTGAGGGTCTCTCCCAACGCTGAAAGGGCCAGAGAGGCCTCCCTGCTAAGAAACATGGATGGGGGAGTGGCAAGCCTTCTTCGTGATTTCACTGGAGTTTGTTCAACCCTGAGCTAAGCTCATGGACAGGAGTGAACCAAAACTTGTTTTCTTTGGACTGTTTTGAGCCAAAATAGAAGAAAAGGGCTCATTTTTTCCAGTGATTTTTTTTTTTTTTTTTGATCAATAGTACAAATCCAAAGTAAGTGTTTATTCACTGGCCCAGTTTCCCAATCTTTTCACTTAGAAGCATGACGGCCAATTCCATGGGTTATAAGAATATTCTGAAAACGAGCCCACAAGCTGAGGCGCCCAGGAATCATAGAATGGTCTTTCCCTGTGTGTTTGGGTCAGATTTCCTGCACCAACTGTGAAGTATATAATTCTTGACGCTGAGCTTGACTTTTTTAGCTGGTGTTGGGTATACAGGTGTGTGAAGCTGATTAGCAAACACCATACAGAGAAGCTGCACTCCTCCTGGGAGGAGACCTGCCTTTTTTGTTGTTTTTAAAGTCAGCCCAACCATCTAGAGAGAGAAAAGTCTTATCCTTCTAGCAACCTAGTGATGGGGGGGGGGGGGGGGGGGGGGAGAAAGGTGTTTAATGTGCATATTAACAAATTCCCTGATGGCTAAATGTTCTTGTCCACGAAGGAAACATTGCTCACCTCTTTTTTTCCAGTTATCAAGCTCGTGTGAAAATAAGAAAGCATCCCGTTAAATAGTATCCCTTTACATGCCCTGGAAGGGACCTTTCCAGCCAGGAGGCTCTCCTGACACTGAAATAGTCACCTGGTGGCCCCTCAGACCTTCCCTGTGTGGTCAGACACCGGGCATTCCTTGTCCATCACCACCTGGAGAGACGCAGCCAACACACCGAGGCTGCGTTCTTCTGGAAACGTTCTTCTGGAAAACAAGAAAGTACCTTATATAACAAATTCTCACAGCCAAAGGGATCTGGGAGCAAATGTTAAAATTGAAGGGTATCATTCTCCATTTTTAGAAGGGTATTCGTTTGAGTTTTGATTTATCAATTCGCTTTTTTGTAGGGCTTTCTTTTCTTTTTTTAATTAAATTGCTCTGTTGTGAGGTAGTCATTTTAATTTCATGGCTTTCATAAGTTTACAGGAACATAAAAATTTGATGCCAGTGAAATTCATTAGAATTCTCCATTATCCTGTGGATTTAGTGCTCATCTGTCCTGCATATGTTTCCAGTGGTGGCTTACCACCGTCCTCACCATCTATCGGCCATATGCCCACGCATCATGCACGCAGAGACGCGCAAGCACGGGGACCCAAGGCTGGTCGTAAAACAAGGCCATCTCTGACGTGGGTTCAAACCCTCACCAAGGCGAGTGCCAGGGAAAGGCAATTGGTGTGCTCTGGACAAGAGATTTAGAAACAATCCTTCCAGCTCAGCAAACGTCACTTTGTTTCTGTCTGCTTTCCCCTTCGTTTGCAATAAACCTGACAAAAACTTCCAGAATGAGAATGAGAGTGTTCTTATTGGAAGGAGACGCTGGCAGGCAGCCACAGACTCAAAGGACAAAAGCTAATTTTGCTCTTGTGTTTCCGCCAATAACTCCTTGGCCCCCACGCGCTCTGCACAGGCTGAGCCTGAGGGGGATCCGGATGGGTCAGCTGCATGCAGGCCACCGAAAACCCTCAGCGGAGAAAGGGAGCTTCCTCTGCTCTGGAACAAACTGTTTCCCTGCTAGTCTGGCCACTCAGCCCACATAACTGAGCGATCCCACCTCCTGGGGTCATCAATCACTCAGCTTGAGCCCAGGGACGTCCACTTGCATCTGGCCTCCCTGACCTGTTCTCCCCACCCCCCACCCCACCCCGTTAGAGGGGAATCCTTCACTTTATGAAGGAAAGAAGGGAGGGGGGAGGAAGGAAGGTTAGAGAGAGAGATGGAAGGAAGAAGAAAAGGAAGGAAAGAGAGAGGGAAGGTTGGGGGCAGGGAGAAAAGAAAAGAAAAAGGGAGAAAGCGAGCGAGAGAAAAGGCAGGCAAATGCTTTTACTGCCTTTAAAGTGGATTTGATTTTTAAAATGCATTTCTGGATCATGTTTTCAGAACCCGTCTCCTGCAGTAAGTGTCCTGCCGCTGGTGACAGAGAAGAGCTGGAGTTTAACACCTTGTTGGGGGCAGGGGGGTCCTCCCCGTTCCGGTTTCAAGCTGAACCGTGGAAGGCACTGGAGTTGGTTGTTCCCTCCGCAGCTGGCGAGGTGCCGCACCACCACCCTTCCAATGTGGGGGGAGGGGAAGGAGCATCCTAGTTTTCCGAGAAGAGGAACAAGACTAACTTGGGCCTAACAGGGCTTGGAGAAAAGACTCAAGGCTCCTGAAGGACGCTGCCATCAGGCCCCACCAGAAGAGGGGTGGGATGAGGGGTGAGGATTTAGCCCCTAACGAGCTCTCCTGGACCCTGGAGCTCCCGCCGGACACGGCCAGCAGAGGAGGCCCAGGGCCAGGAAGCCTACACCAGGCGTAGGAGAAGCTCTGTGGATGGGCTGGCGACCTCTTTAGCCAGAGGCCCAGGAGACCCTGAAGGGGAAAGGCCAGGACCACCATCGCACTTCCTGGGAAGGGACAGAGCCCTCCTCAGCCTCCTAGTGGCTGTTCCTTCACCCACAGAGACAGCCTGGCAGCTGAGGGCCCAAAACCCTGGGGCCCGGCCTGAGTCTGTGAGAAATAAGCTCTCTCATCCTATCCAAAAGCCCTTCAGAGAGTTGAGGCCACGTCAGGAGAGGTGAGCCCCAGGAATCGGCTCTGCAGGGGAGAACCCCCCCAACAGTGACATGTAGCCCAGCAGTGGGACCTGGAATGTCCCAGAAACATTAAAGCTTGGGGTGGGGGGTGGGGTGAGAGCGACTCAGGAGCAGAGCTGAAGTCAGGAGGAAGGAGCCACTGAAAGAGGCTCCTTTCATGCGGAGCCCAAGGCTATAAATAACCAGGCAGCTGCTCCACAGCTGGTGCAGGGCCCGTCTGGGCAGGGGGAGGTGACTCAGGGTGGTAAGACAGCAGCCCCCCTGCACTTGAGCTGCGGGGCTGTGGCCTGGACGGCGGAGATGCAGCAAGCCCCCCTCCTGACACCTGGAGCTGGCAGCCGGACAAGACGGAACAAAGCGACACAGGGCCTGCTGCGCGACCCTTCTTTCCAAGGACACTCCCTGCTACCCTGGCCCTGCTGTTTGCACGTCAGCATTGGCGCTTATTTTTTACAAAGCCTTTTTTTCTTTTTATTGAGATGTAACATCAGTGACGCACAAATAACTTGGTGAGTTTTTATGTATTTCTATACCTACCTGCCTATCACCCGGATCAAGGTAGAGGACATTTTGAGCAGCTCAGTGGACAATCTTGTGCTGTGTCATCAAAGCCCCAACCATCCAAGGCGAACCCCTGTTTTGATCTCTACCATTGTAGATTGCGTCTTCCTTTCAACTTCATGGCTGATTCATCTCACTGGAATCCCACAGGAAGCACTGCTTTGCATCTGGTTTCTTTCAGGCACTGACATGCCTGTGAGATTCCTCCACCTCTTGGGTAGCAAAACTTTGTCCTTTTTCACTGCTTTGTATTATTCCATCGTATGAGGAAACCATGATTTATTTCTTCATCCTCTTGCTAAGGGTCACTGGGCTGTTTCCAGTTTGGAGCTGTGATGAATAACACTGCATTGGGCATTCTTTCAGTGTTAGCATATGTCAGAGCATGTTTGGAAATAAATTCTGCTGAGGATCTGTCTGGTACACCCTCAATGGATGGCAATTTGGCAACAGCGGTCAAAATTAGAAAAGCACACACCCTTCTGGGAATTTATTCTGCAGATATGCTCAAACATGCAAAATACCTTGTGCACAAGGTTCTTCGTTTCAGCATTTATTTGTAAAAGCTAGAGTTCTGTCTTTTTTTTGTTATGTTCTTTATATAGTCTGGATACTAGACCCTTATCAGACATACAATTTGCAACTATTTTCTCCCATTCTCTATAGGTTGTCCTTTCACTTTCTTGATAATATCCACTGATATAGTTTTTCATTTTGATCAAGTCCAATAGATCTAGTTTTTCTTTTGTTGCTATGCTTTTAGTGTCATGTCTAAGATTCTATTGCCAAAACCAAAGTCACGAAGATTTACCCCTAAGAGGTTCATAGAACATAAACCCCCCTTCTTAAGTGTGGGCTGCACATCGTGATTTTGCTCCAAAGAGCACAGTATGGAAAAGGAAAAGAAAGGGAAAACTGTATAGCAGAGAAACCTGACCAACATACCTCGGCCAGGTGATCAAGGTGGTAAGTCAACAGTGATAAGTCTTGCTGATGGCACGGACCCTCAATATGATGAGAATGGCACTCTTATGGGCTAATCTGTTTCCCCCACCCAAATTCATATATTGAAGTCCTAACTCCAAGTACCTCATAATGTGAACATATTTGGAGAGAGGATCTTTAAGGAGATGATTAAGGTTACATGGGGTCATTGGGATGGGCCCTCAACCAATATGACTGGTGTCCTTATAAGAGGAGAAGGTTAGGACAGAGATAGGCACAAGGACAACCATGTGAGGACACAGGGAGAAGGTGGCAGTCTACAAACCAAGGAGAGAGGCCTCAGAAGAAACCAACCTAGCTGAAAACTTGAGTGTAGACTTCCAGCCTCAGGAACTGTGAGAGAATAAACTTCTGCTGTTTAAGTCACCCGGAGCAGAATAAACAGGCCCTTTACCTCTGAGGAATTCCACTCAAAACCCATAACCCCATTCTAATCATGAGAAAAATACCAGAAATATCCCAGTTAGGGACATTCTACAAAATACCCAACCAGTCCTCCTCAAAACTGCTAAGGTTATCAAAAGTCAAGGTTAAAAAAAAAAAAACCTGAGAAACTGTCACAGCCAAGGGGAACCTGAGGAGACATGACAACTAAATGGTGTCCTGGATGGAACCCTGGAACAGAAAAGGAACCTCAGGTAAAAACTAAGGAAAGCAGAACAAAATGTGAACTTTAGTTAATTGTGACAAATGTACCTCACTCACGTCAGATGTTAGTAACAGAGGAAACTGGGTGTGAAGGATGTGGACAGTCTGTACTCTCATCACAACTTTTCTAAAGCTATAATAAAATTAAAAGTTTATTTTTAAAAATGGACAAAAGGTTTGAATGGACGTTTCAACAAAAATATGCAAATGGCCAATAAGCACATGAAAAGGTGCTCAACATTATCATTCATTAGGGAAATGTAAATTAAAATTACAGTTAGATGGGAATTCCCCGGCAGTCCAGTGATTAGGTGCTTTCATTGCCGAGGCCGCCGGTTCAATCCCTGGTTGGGGAACTAAGAAATGCAAGCCAGGCGGCACGGCCAAAAATAAATAAATAAAATAAAATAGACTTAAAAAAAAACCCCTACAATTAGGTGCCACTTCACACCCAGTAGGATGGCTATAATCAAGAAGAAATAACAAATGTTGGCAAGGATGTGGAGAACTGGAATCATTATACGTTACTGATGGGAATTTAAAATGGTACAGCCACTATGGAAAAAAAAAATTTGGCAGAGTTTAAAAATGTTAAGCATAAACATACCATAATATCCGGTAATTCTCCTTCTAGGTACTTACCAAGGAGACATGAAAACATCTGTCCACACATTTACTTGAATGTGACTGTTCATAGATGCATTATTCATAAAAGCCAAAAAATGAAAATAACCCAAATGTGTCATCAATTAATAATGGGTAAGTAAAATGTGGCCCATCCAAACAATGGAATATTATTCATCCATAAAGAAGAATGAATCACTGACACAACTACAACACGGATGAACCTTGAAAACATGATGTTCAGTGAAAGAAGCCAGACACAAAAGACCACATATACAGTACTTCCATGAATATGAAAAGTCCAGAAAAGGCAAGTCAACAGAGCTAGAAGGAAGATCAGTGGTTGCCGAGGGCTAGGGATGACAATGAGGATTGACTGCAAATAATCATGAGTGACATTTGGGGTATAGTAGAAGTGTTCTAAAATTGGATTGTGATGATGGTTGCACAACTATTAACTCACTAAAAATCATTGAGTTGTACATTTAGAGGGGGTGAGTTTTATGGTATATAATCATACCTCAATAACACTGTAAAAAAAAAAAATTACCAGCAAGGTGGCAAGGCACAGATGAAACAAGATTGGTGACATGTTGATAATTTTGTAAACTGGGTGACAGGCAGAGAAGATTCATTATACTATTCCTTCTACTTTTGTTTGTGTTTGAAATTTTTCATAATACAAAGTTTAAAAATTAATGAATTGCTCCTTTATGTGTCCCCTGAACACACGTTTCCATAACATCCCCAAGCACATGGTGCTGGTGTTATTTACATACCTTTTCTCCTCCCCATTAGATGGTGAGTTTCCTAGGAGTAGGGACTGTTTCCTACTATTTATTGTTTGTTTGTTTGTGTATTTCCAGGGTCTGACTCAGAGACTGGCAAATAAGTGTTAGTTGAAGAAATTCCTAATATAAAATGGGGAGGGAGAAAAAGAAATAACTGGTAACATGAGAAAGACCATTTTGCAAAAGCTAACTCAAGTTTCTCAAAAGGAAATATTTTAAGTATTTAGAACTTCAAGATGACACCTTACTCCAAAATGTGTTTGGCTGTTGGGTTTTCTGGGATGTTCTGCATTAGGGAGGGGCTACTCTAAATAGCAACCACAGTGATGGGTCCCCGGTTCTAAAATTGTTATAAAACACATAAAGCACTCTACATGAAAATAACTCTGAACAAAAGTGAATCCTTTTTGAGTCAGGATTTTACAGTGTCTCAGGGTCCTCATTGTGACGCTGCTATCCCGACACTTGAGTGGAGAAAATTCTTTGACTTCGTTCTGATACGTTTCCTGTGTTTTAAAAATGCGATTTTCTTACTAATCGACAGTCCTCTGTGGCACGTGTTGAGCAGCAAAACATTGAAGAATCTTCCAGATTTGCTAACAGAGATGAGCAACTCACCAGAAAAAAACAGCCCCCCCCAAGTGAGAGAAGGCAAGAGGAAAGCAGGGTAACATGCAGTCCATCTTCTCTAGGGGTCGGGCAAGGGCTAGGTCTTGAGAAGTTCTTGCACGTAATTCTCCCGATAGTGCTTCGAAAGAGGCGAGGAACCGGGCAGCACAAGGGGCGAAGCTCTGCTGACCAGCAGCGCAGCGGGACCCCCAGGATCCCCAGCGCCCCCAGGACTTCAGGGAGCAGGGCCGATCCGGCCCTCGGGCGCCACCTAGCGTTGGCCGCGCCCGCAGCCGGCCCTCCAGGCGGGGCTCAGCCCCACCATCCACAACCCTGAGCACCTGAGTCCCGGGTCCCTGGATAAAGTAAAGCAGGAGGAATAGCCAGATTTCAGAGCCAGCCCTGCACTCGCGCTGCCTCTGACCCGCGCCCTGCAGGGGTTTCTGGTGCGCAGTGCCTGGGGCGAGAAAGGCGCTGGACTGGGAGCAGGGGTGGGACAAGGTCCTAGTCCAGCCTCAGGCCTCCAGCATCTGTTTCTTCTTGTAGAGAAGCAGGAGGGAGTGGTCCTGAGAACATCCAGGGGGGCTTCCAGCTCTGAAAGTCCGAGTCCAAGTACACAGAGTACCCCCAGCCCCTAGTCCATCCTTGGAAACTTGTCGGGATGCTCCTGCAGCCCCTTAACCTTGGTGGGTCATTTGAATCACTGGAGAACTTCTTAAAGGGTAAGTATCTGGGCTCCATCCCAGACTAACTGAACTGGGGGCGGGGGGCGGGGGGCACGGGGGCCTGGGCATCAGTATTTTCCACTTTTGCTGGGGTGATTCTATTGTACGACTAAGAACACGGCCTTACACTTTGATATAATAATGTAGGTCCATATGCTCTTCTCAACAGCCCTATGGGATAAGACTATGTTCCCCTTTAGGTGAGGGGACATTGTGTCAAGTTTAGAGATTTTAAGTGCTTCATCCCAGGTTATGCAGCTACAAAATGTCAAAACAGGTGAACTGATCTGATCTTTCTACCAGTTATTCTGAGCTGACCCTCAACTAGTCACGGGTAGAGGCTCTGTCCTTAGACATCCCTATCCAAGAGGGGCCAAATCTGAATTCATTCCCTGTTATGTGCTGTATTGTGTCCCGCCCAAATTCATATGTTGTAGCCCTAACCCCCAATACCTCAGAATGCGACTGCATTTAGAGATGGGGTCTTAAAAGAGATGTTAATTCAAAATGAGGGCCGTTAGGGTGGACCCCAATCCAATCTGACTGGGGTCTTTATAAGGAGAGCCAGAGTCACAGAGGAAAGACCACGTGAGGACAGAGTGAGAAAGCCAAGGGGACCTTGATCTTGGACTTCCAAGCTCCAGAACTGTAAGAAAATTGATTTCTATTGTTTAAGGAACCTAGTCTGGGGTAATTGTTTTGGCAGCCCAAGCAAACAAATAAACCTCCACCCCAGCCCCACCTCCGGAGTTCAGAATTGAAAGGATGGATCCCGGGAGCCCGGTGTGCACATTTCTTCCCATCCAATCTGTTGCCCTTTTGTGCAAACTGCTCAGCGTAGGGCCTGGCACGTGGTAAGCACAGAGCCATTCTTAATAACACACAACACCTGGATACAAGGAGTATTCCCTCTCCTTCATCTGAGGTGTATCCCCATTCTCCAGATGAGGCTTAGAAAGGCTGTGTAACTTGTCCAAGGTCTTTAACTGTGGAGCCAGGACAAAAGACTC